TAAAATAAAATATGTACAACTTTAATATTAAAAGTCAGAATTATTATATGCACTTCCACTTTTAATATGTGATGAACACGCAAAAAATGTACAAGACTGTTAACTCAAATATTTAGATATTTCTTTAATAAAATATATTGCTGTACAAATTTAGCTCATACAATATTCTAATAGAAGAGAGACGTGTATTTTAAAATGCCACTAATTAAATCTTTTAGAGTTAATTGATTTGTCGATGCTATATTTACAACTGAGAACATCAGCGACTATTTATTGCAGTGATTTATAATCACCGTTTCGAAGGCCATTTTATTATTGAAAAGTGAATGCTGGAAGAGAGAGTATAAAGACACGCAAAGAATACAAACAGCGCGGGTTTGCTTGTATTAGCATCGATATAGATGCCCGATTATCTTGCACATTTATCGCGAAATAGTTGCAGGATGATTTAAGGTGAACGCAATGTTTCAAATTAAATTTATTCGCCTCAAGATCTCCGCGAGCCGCGATATGTCAAAACATCTCTTATTTCGAAGGTACGAAGATTTCAACGATATTTATCGCCGGAAAATATTTATTATGTTTTCCTCTGCGTGAGCTTCACGCATGTACATAAAACATTTTGTTCGTTTATGCGAATGGATCTAGATCTAGGCCGCGAACGCGTGCAACGCATATTGCGGAAAACGCGCAGTAATTTATATATATATATCTATACATATATATACAAAGTCGCGCGAATTAATCGAATAAATCATAGAACTCGATGACACAAATTATTTATGCGACAAGCCGCAACGCGTCCGCGATGACTTTCCTCGAACCTTCGCGCCTCGTAAATGTTTAATTTGCATTTAATATCGCGGTTACGGAGCTGTATTTGCGCAGATGCACTAAACAACCTCTGGAGCCTGTTCAAAATATTGCCGTTTGCGGCTTGCGCGAGCGAACGTTGCACCAGCAAGTAAACAGCGGTGCGAAATAAATCGTGCCGACGGAATTTATTACTGATTGCTGCTCGAGATCTCGTCGAGAAAAATTGCGAAAATAAGAGACGCCCATATAATTGATATACAGTCGAGACCTCTCGGTTTAAAACATTCGTACAATGTATTTATATATATATATTTTTTTCCGATTCGAAAGAGAATTGGCTGAAAATCGGTAGTCGAGAATCGACAGTTACACAACGTATATGACGTTTGCATTCGAAATTATATTTAACGCGAGCAAACAAATTTTATGATGTTTCCTGCGCGCGAAAAGCCGTGTCCAAAAAAAATCGGACGCTTCTGCACCTGGTTTCGGGCCCCGACATTCGTAAACAATCGTCGCGGCGCCAAAATTCACCGATGACTCTCTCCGGCGCATCCTCGCGGCCGCCCACGCTAATCGACTACGCAAATACACAGTGAGCCGACGTAATCTCGGCCCGGCGCGGCGTGCGCGTAGACTGGTATTTTAATTGACGGATTCTGCGGAGACCCGACACGCGAACTACTCGAGATCATTTCGCTCTCTATCATAGTCTCGAGCACTTTCTTCCGAGAACGCACGCGCGTGAATCAGCGCGCCGGCACGCGGCGCGATGATGTCAATCTTTGCTCAGCTGATTGACGAGATCGAGGGGCCTCACCTTCGTACGGGACATGATCTTTTCCCACCTCCGATCTCTCGCATTCTTTCGCGTTCGGTGTAAACGCTCATGAGATGAGGAGGCGCGCGACGACTGTATAAACTCGGTGCATCTCGTCTTCTCGTCACGCTGATGCGTTATCACGTCGCTTCTGACGAATCTGTCCGTCGCGCGAAATTCCGAAGATTTATGGCCGATGTTAGTGACAGGTCGACTTTATCCGCGACGTTGATATTTTGATGGAATATCAGCGTTTCGGTTCCATTTTGCGCGATGCGTTCCTCTCAGCTGCAGCAGCTTTTCTCAATCTGGATTTTTTAAAGCGCATTTAAATGCATTCGTGAAAAGAAGGCCAAAAGACTATTTCGCGTAGAAAATTTTTATTGGTACACCAATGTAACTATTTATTTTCTCGCGAATGCACAACATAAAGCTCGCAAATCGATATATCTATATGTTTCGTTGATAAAAAGATACAATGCACTTTTGAGCGGAGTCGCTCGTTTTAAGCTTGAAAGTTCAAAAGTTTCGTATATCGTATATCGTTTTTCAACGCATTATTATTTGAGGCAGGTTAGAGTTACGTTTCTGTGATATTTCTTTCGCGCTCTGCCACCATCCATTTCCGCCATTTCTCGACGCCAGCAGTCGATTGAAAATTCGCGTTACAATGTCGCGCGATTGCGTCGTTTCGATTATCGAATAAATAAATTCGTCGCCGACAGCGTCGTCGGGTTCGCGGGACGTCGTCGAGTATATTTTTCTCAAACAAAACACGTAATACTCGTGTACATGTTGGCGATGATAACAGCTCTGCACAAACGTCGAATGTAATTGCTTCGCCACCCCGTGACCCCGCGAATTCCACGTCGACTGAATCATCGAAATAAAATATCGCCGTTCAAACGTCAATCTTCACGACTCCATTAGCAAAGAATTAGCCATATTCTTATTTAAGAGTCGTGACGCATCGATGATGAATTACATGCAAATCGCATGAGCAGAGCCCCGTTACACTTGCATTCATCGGAATGCGATAAGACTGAATATTCGATCTCGACAAAATAGTTTCTTAATTAACTCAAGTCTTCTATCGTTGCGTATTATCTCGCGTGCGTAATGCGAATTAAAAATAAAGTGCACTGAAAAAAATTATTAAATGAATAAATATTTTATTTCAATACTGCCTTATAAATCATTTATTTGAAACCAATAAATATTTATTTGTTTTGAAAAGAATTTTCTTATATCAAATAAATATTTTTCACATCAAATAAATATTATTAATTTTAGATCACAATGATTCATAAGGCAGTATTGAAGTAAATATTTGTTCGAATTCAATAAATTTGTTTTTCAGTATATGCTTATGAATTTAGAGAGTTAATCTTGAGATCTAAGAACCATAACTTAATCCTGCATCGCAGATTGACATATGCACTATTGTTGCAAATTTTATCTATATAATATCGGCGCTTATTTATTCCTCTGTTTTTGCCCCCGCATATCTTTCTCTCTCTCTCTCTCTCTCTCCCGGACAAAGTATCGAAGCAATATAGTTCCGGAGAGCTACGCCGAGATTAATATCCCACATTCGTCGCAGTAGCGTTTCCAGTTGCAACTAATTGGCAGCCGGTATTACACACAGGCGCGACGCTCGCTATCGCTGAATCGCTTGCGTAACGACGTTAAATCATTGCGCGTTGTGATCAAATGCACGTGCAGCGGACGAAAAAAGGAAGGAAGGGAAAAAAGAGAGGAATAAAGTGGCGCGAGATCAGTCGTGGGGAAAATGACGACTCGCGGGCATACGTTGCATTAATTCCAGCAACCCCGGCAACAACCGCGTAGGACATTTCGATAAATCTCGATCTCGTTCTGCGCCGAGACGGAAATGCAACCCACGTGTATCTATACGTGTCGCTCGATTTCAACTCGCTTCGATTGCACTCGCGGCGATTTAACGCACGATATATCGTCCCTACGTGTTATTCTGTTATATAGGATATAAGGTTATCCACGTATAAAGTACGTACAGAGAGGATAAATACGCGGATACATATGTACGTAAAACCGATGTTCATTAATATCGAAACGCGGGAATAAAGAAGCGCGTCGTTTGCTCGGAATTGGCGCGTTTTGTTCCAAAAGATAATTTTTAATATTTATGAACGCTATTTTTAATATTATTTTAGTGTTGAATAGTTGAATAGTCGATAATTAATTTAAAAGAATTAAAAATATTTCTACGTCATAGTTTTTATATGCGTTTTGCAGAACGCTGATATTTTACTGGCGATAAATCGATCGTTTTGATAATTTTTCCAGTTTTAATACAGCAGCCGTCAGAATAATTAATCTAAACGGCCAACACGCGGTACTTTTTAAACGTAAATTTATGGACGCGCCTCTCTCGCGCAAACGAAACGTGAGCTCTTTGTGCGAGAGAGGAATAGTCCGCTCGGGAAGTTACGAACTGTTCCGCGTTATACGTTTTTCGTGTAAAGGTCTATTATACGTATAAACGGCGCGGTATTCGCAAAGGTCATGTGCTGCTCGCGCACATCGCTGCCTTTTAATTACGCCAACTGAAAGCACAATTGTGTGTTCCGGAAAATACGCGGCGATTATTTTTTGTGAGAATACGTTTTAACAATACGATCTCGCCTATATATCTTTCTTTGACAAAACGATTGCTGCGTCAAACGCGCACAAATTTTAGACTATTTAAATGTAATTTGTATATTAATACATTAATTAAGTCACAATTAATAAATTAAGTGTCATCAGTAATGTTAAAGCTAGAAATAAAAATAATTTAAACAGTTGTATAATTTTATGCGTATGTCGTAATGCAAAAAATTTAAATATGTAAAACTCGTACATGTATTAGCATATGCAAATGCGTAAACTTAAATAGAGATCTATTTTTGTCGCAAATTACAAAATCGTCTAAAGTGTGGGCTATTATGTAGAAAATTTATTTTTAACATTTTTCTTTATTGCGACGTTTCTTTCCTCTATAGAGAATTTTTCTGTAACGCTTTTAAGAAAGCTAACTCGCTACAAACTCTTTGATCCCTTTACGACAGTACTGACAATAAATTCATCGCGCCACGCCGTTCTTACAGAATTACCAGGGACGACGTAATATCGGGCAAGTTCGATTTTCTTTCACGGGGCGAAACTTCATACGCCACGCTTCGGCGGCTTTTGACGTCGCCGAAAATTCGCGTTCTCGCCCGTCGGACAGGGCTTTAATTAAACCGTCGTCGCGGTGGTCGCGCACAGAAACTTGGGGCAACTAGGGCGAGAAGAGCATAGACGGAGCGAGAGAGTAATACGATTGAATAATTTATTCCAGGCACGTCGTTCGGCGAGGCGGCGCGGACCGACGACGATTGGGAGGTGGGCGATGAAAAAGAATCGAGACGGAACGGCGACTGGAATAAGGACGACGAGAGGACCACGCGGTTCACCAGCTGGACAGGTAAGGGGAAAACCTGTTGAATTAATGTTGTCGCACTGGTCCTCTCTTTCTCTAGCACGTTGTTTTTCTCTATAGTATATATATATATATACCGTCTATTTCTAATTTGTGTGCACGCATCCAGGTACCCAATTTACCCCGATTACAACGATTATTAATTTTGACGTGCAATCGAAACGCGTGATTAACGGATCGAAAACGACCGTTGATACGTATTATCCCGACGGACTTTGGTACGTTACTCTCTCTCTCTATCGTGGTGTTCCCTCTCTGTAATTATCGTGTCCGCCGATCACGTTGACTACGGGCATGTACGACATTTCCGCCGATCAACGTGCCCGTCGTTTGTAATTGAAACTGATCGGGAATTAACGTCGCGCTTTAAGCGACGGTCTGTCTAAAAACTCGAGTGACGTGATACACGGAAAATAATCGGAAAGATTTGATGAGAGAAGAAATTTGTTCGCGTCTAAAATTAATCGACCCTCGTATATATTTGCGGTAATTATTGCAGCACTTTGATATAACCAGACTAAGGTAAATTTGAGAAAGAAGAGGAAAAGCGTATAGCTTTACTTTGAAACGCGAGAACAAATATTTCTTCGGAAATAATATCCCTCGCGTAATCTCGTGTCGGAAGTATGTAATATTTGACTTGACGAACAGGGAAGGTTATTGACGGATCGGAACGAACGAGGAATGAAATACGCGTACTTGGTCCCGTTAATGTGTAATCAGCTGTTTTGTGTCAGGCGGATTTGCCGCGGGCAAAGTGCGCATCTTCGAAAATTTTCTATGGCGCTATCTCGGCGAACTTTACGAGCAAACTCGGTGCCGAAGAGAAAGCCCTTCTTTTCTCCCGATATAAGCGCGAACAATAGTAACTTGTTTCGAAGTCGATAAAGCCGCGTATAGGTATATGCGGATAATGCTTCCCGTCAAACAGGTATCTCACCGTAGGACGCGTCGATTGCTTTGTCAGCACTTCAGATTTATACGAGTTGAGTATCGTTAGCGATTGGCGCGTATCGGGGTTCTATACCTACCTATAGAATAAACTAAAACTCTCTGTGCGCGCATCATAATAACTTATTGAAGAACTTTGTGCGCGGACGACAAGCGGTGAGCCGCAAAATGCATATCGGATAACGTAAGTTTACAAAATATATTATCCCGAATCATTAATAATATATATCCGCGATGTACATATATTACTTCGCTCTTGCGAATTTGAAGTAGCCCGGCCTCATTAATCATCGATTTTTTAATCAATAAATCAGATTTACGCGTTACGTCATATTGAAATTATAGGCAGGCTCGAATGACGATATTGTTATTAACGTTAATTGTACTAATTAGCGAACTAATTGCAAACGCCTACACAATTGTTTTACGAGTGTCAAAATGCGATAAACAACATTGGGCACCGTCCAGCGCTTAAACGTTTTGCTGGGTTCTCCTCTGTATTCGTGTACAAAACATGGAAACTGGATATTGGAAATGTTATAACATGGAAATATATACTTCGATATCGCACCAGGTGCTTAATATAGGATAAGCGATCAGGAGGTAACGACATAATCCGCCAAGCCGAAGTGTGTCCGTAGTATCGCGCATATATACTACTACTCGGCCTCTTCCAAGTTTCGCGCTTAACTTTAGTTAGATGAGAGTTGGATCAACGACACCCAACGGCAACTTTCGCAAAATCTCGTTTAATTCGAGTGGTTGCGTTAACGATATTTGACTTTATGCCGACAGTTATGAACAAACAGCTGCATTCAAGCCGCGATTATAGATTCTTCCCGTAAAAGGTATGTATAGGGATTTCTCCCGTCAAATCCTTTCTTCTCGAACATCGTAATTCGCTTCTTCGAACATATCCTCGCTATCCCGGATATCATTTTTCACTGTAATTTTTCTCTTGCCGCTTTCAAATTTGTATTTATCACCGGTAGCAGCCTACCTTACTATACGAACGGCCCAAAACGAGAGATACGAGAGAAGATACGCCGGTACGGAAAAATCATTTCGGCAAAATATATATTCCGCGTTCTCTCCTATAAAGAATATTACTCGCGAATTTATCGCGCGCGGGTGGCCGAAATTTTACGGCGTCGTTGGCCCGGAAACGTTTAAACGGGTCGTTTCGTGGGTGTCGTGCCGAGTTCTTGTCGCGGAAAATACGCTTATCCAATTACTTTATTCGCGCGATCGGGCGAAGCTTTTTCTTTCCGTTTCATCCCGTGAAGGGGATGCGCGAATTTTTTTGCATATATGTTTTTTTTTTATTTTTCATTCTCTCTCTATCTATATATCTATCTCTGAAGATGATATTTTTGCCTCCCGTGAGATAAGCGCTATCTCTTCGAACGCCCGGAATGCTGATGTGTATCTCAGCGCGATGGAATGTGACCTTATCGTTGTGCCAACTAACAAATATTCCGCAGTGCGATTAATACGTGCGTATATGTATAGTCGCGGTTCGCCCACTTTTGTGAGAAAGAGAGGAAGAGGGGGAAACGAAAAATAGAGGGAGAGATTGTTCACTCTGAACGATTGCTGCGCAAATATTTAATGAAATATACATTATTCTTTCTCTTTGCCTCGTCCGGTATTTGACATAGTCCCGTCGAATGGATTTTCTCTACTGCATTACGAAAGTACGCGAGAAATATAAAAGGGACGAGTCGCAAAAAAGGAAAAGCAAAAAAGAATAATATCGGCTATCCGCAATATCTTCTCATTAAACACGGGAATATATATATATATATATAACGTTCGATTATCGACAAACGCGACACTTTTAATTGTCGCGCGACAGCAAGAAAGAAAGAGAGACAGAGTTGTCGCAAGTTATTTGCGTAAGCGCAGATATGACGTTGTTATTGTTACAGCGAGGAAACTGTTATTGTTTGTTGGTCGACGCAATGTTTTACGCAAAAGTGCGTGCTGGGAGGAAAAAGTCTCCCGTATTTTTTGTGTAAATATATTTCTTTCCGACGTGCCGATAATATCGTACAGATTATGTGTTAAATTTGAACTGATTCAAGCGAGAATAATCTAAAATTTGATTAATGGCATTTAATTTTTATTTTAATACGTTTTTCATTCGACTGACAAATTAGTTAATATTTATTCTTACGAGGTTAATTTTACGTCAAAGTGTTAGAAATTTGTTTTAAAATTAATGTGTAAGTAAAATTAGTGTGTAAGTATATATCTATATATTTTAAGAAATGTGTATATATATATATATATGTTTTCTTCTTTTTTTTTTTATTAAATTGCGGTGGCTGGTAATGCTTTATTTTTATTGAAAAATATTATTTAATAAATTTTAATTTTCTATATAAAATATTTCGAAGGCACGTGCCAACTTAACTGATCATTTCGCAGTTCTTGTTTCTTCATTTTGCGAATATCTAACCAGAGAAGGGAAGAAGTGGATTCCACGAGTGCATTATGGAAATATGCGTTCGGGAAAATAGTTCGGTCGAAGTCGCGTCGGACTTTGTGCCTTCATTAAGGCATACCCGCGATAAGACACGCGAATTAATCGCTGAATCGTGATTCGCCGAATGATTCAAGCGAATAAATCGAGCGATTGTCTAGCGCTTTTGAAAGCACTGACGCGAAATGACGTAACTTGTTTTATGATAAAAAAAATCATCTATGCGTCAAACAAATTTCAGCGAAATGAACCCCGACTGCATTTGACAGCATAATTATATATTTAAATGGCAAGTTTCTCCCTCTAAAATGAAATTTCGACTCGATAACAAACTATCATCTTTTTTTTTTTTTTTTCACGGACAGAGATTGGCGGCATAATTCTTTCGGGTCAGCGAAGCGAGCTCGCTTTTTTCTTTCGTTTCGAAATCGTTTGCGAAGAGATCCACGTTCATCGTGTCCCTATTTATTATGTAGCGATGTATCAATTAAGAACGTCGATATGCGTGTCGACTCGTCGCGTTGCAAGCGGATCGGAAAATCGTCCGGCAGCCTTTCGCGCCGGACGAAAAAAAACCGATAAAATTGATAATTGACGTCAATTAATATCGAGGGACGCGCGCAACGGCCTTCTCACGGGACGGTGCATCGCCATTAAAGTAAGTTTCAATTACGACGCGAGTCGCATCGTTGCGTCACATCTTGTGTACATATATATATATGTATACTACACGTTGCTTTTCGTTCCGGGTCGCCAATTAAATTTGTCTCTCCTCTCTCGTTCGTTGATCGGCCGTTAATCTCTCTCTCCTCGTGCATCGACGTCTCCGGGCGTGACATTAATCACCATTACTCGCCGGAAATCGTCGTCGACCGTCGCATTAACACGCAAAAGTTGACGCGCGGTGATTTGTCTTAATTAACGATTTCATGGATTTGATTGCATTACCATCTTCTCCAAGCGTGACAGAAGACGCTCATCAAAACCGGAACCGCGTCGTAGTTTGTTCGCGGAAATCGCACCGCATTTATGCCACAGTTGCTCGTTTTCCAGAAAATTGGCCGCATATGTCACTCGTCCGATTTAATAACTTTGCGCACCTTTGTAACATGCGTTAGTAAATCTATGGAATTTAAGTTTGTGTAGCAACACTTAGCGTTACCATTTGTCAACGTCCCGACGACACGTTCAATTTCGCGCATCTCCTGCGCGACTTCTCGAAATGCAGCAATTGCATTCGCCACACGCGTTACGCGGTGCATAATCGTTACGGGAATCATTGCGAGTCATTGCAATATTTTCTCGTGGATAATTATAGTTTGCGCTTTGCGCGCTAATAAAATTATAACTGATATAAATTCGAGCGAGGATGATTCTCGGCGCGTGCATCGCAGTTTTTAAATAAACCTGCTTTATTTATAACGTAGATTACGTGGAAATCCAGAAGTCGTTGCGTGACGGTTTAATGTCCGTTGAATCGATCGTGGAAGTAAAATGTTTTATTCTCCGGATTATAATCAACTGAGGAGAGGATTTGCGCGGAACA